TGATGCATTTCACGTATATAAAATGTTCTCCTGAAAACAAATACAAATAAATAAGAAGTAAAAAAAAAATTTGAAATTTTTTCCTTTTGCAGGGTTGTTTCTTAAAAAGAAACAAGATTTTTTTTTCATTTTTTCTTGAACAGCAACACAAACTCTAAAACGTAAGAAATTTTGTATAAAAAAATTAGAGCTTAAAAAAATAAAGTAAAAAATCGGTGTACAGAGTGTCAAAAAAATTGTAACCTACAAATAGAACAGTTTGTATTTATGAAACAGATTGCTGACTAAAATTGTTCTAATCAATTTCAAATTGTTTGTCAAGTTATATGAATTACACTATTGTGACCTACGATAAAAAATTAACGCCTCATAAATCATTGCTGTTTAAAGTAGAAACAATTTGAATTGTTTAGCAGAACAATTTTTTACTTGTTTACATTGTATTTTGACATTATAATAAAGTCAACATATTGCATAGCTTTTAGAAGTAGAATATTTATGAAGAATAGTGCAGGTTACCATAAGGGTAAAATTCGACAGTTATGCAAAGCAATTATGATATAGTTTTAATAAGCAAACATTCACCATACGTCTTTACTGAATTTAATTATTTTAATAACTCGGCGAAGTGACTGATTAGAAGAAAAGGAAGAGATAGAAAGTTTTTATGATAAATAAATCATTTGCTACAATGAAAATAAGAAAATTATTTTCAACAACCGGGAAAAAATTAACTAAATAAAGAATATGGTCGTTTTGAACTACCATTTTGTCTAATAAAAATTTTTATATACTTCGGTTTGCGGTAGAAGAAGCAAATCACAAGAAACTCTTCTTACGTTTGAGAAAAATTTGTTGCTGTTTCTAGAGTAAGTTATCGAAAAATAGAATATTTTGAGTTTTGAGGCACAATAGCTCTATAAGAGCAAAAGTAAAGCTCTTCTTCTAAAGAAATACGTATAGGATATTTACAAAAATAATAAGGATTTGTTTTTTCAATTTTCTTAGAATTAATCTGATAAACTTTTGTAACTAAATTTTTAATTGACTTTTTCAGAGAATAATATCTTCGCCCTCAAAAGAACAATAAAAAAGAATTCTATTACGCACTGTAATATTTTCCTTTAAGTTTTTTTTTTGTTCTTCTGTATTATGTAAAATTACTTTTTTATTTCAGAATTTTTTCTTATTGTTATTATTATGTTAAATAATGTTTATATCAAAGTATATAAAATTTATTTTCACTTAACAAAATGTTTTATTATCCTTAACAGTGGTAACAGTTTATAACATGCATATATAACTGTTTTTCTTTTTCTCTTTTTTGTACACAATATTTTTTTTATAGTTGTTATATACATTTTTTTTATATTATATGCATATTCAGACTTATACACAATAGTATCCTTCTCGCTTTATACATTTTTACTTATTTATGATTATTTTTTTTTAGTTTGTTTTTGATGTGAAAATAAATGGGGCTTTATTGCACTTTGTAGCTTTATTTTAATGGTTTAGCTCAAAAACAAAAAAAAATAGAACGAAAAAAATCTAAGGAACGAAAAACTATGGAATGTTCTTATGCTGAAGGCGATGTGAAAAACTTCTTTATATTATTACTAGACACATGCATGTACAAAAACAAACAAAAGCAAAGAGAACTCCAACATTTCTTACTGAAATCCAAAAAAAAACAACAAACAAACAATATCCTTAGATCATGAGCAGAATATCCTTTTATATTATCATTATAATATTTAGCCCATTTGGTCAAAATATAAAAAACATTTTTTTATGGTGTAGAAACAGAAATTTCTTTCTTTGCTTACTTAATTTGATGATGACAATGATAAAAATTATGATGATGATATTGATAATCATAATGATGATCATGTTTTTGATAATAATAGTTTTTAGCTTGTAGCATCTTGTGCACGTCGTCATTTCTGTCAACGTACCAGAAAAAAACCGTAAATTCTTTGTTTTCTTTTTTTTTTATTACAAACAATTTTTTATTTTATATTTAATTTTTTTTATTTTCACATAATTTTTAAAATATTCTTTACGGAATTATTCAGAATTAACGAAATGCATGAAAACACAAAAATGAAAATTTTATTTTTTTTTTTAAATGCTGCTCGTGAATTTTCGTTAAAATCTTCTTAATTCTTAACTAATTATAAAAATTTTTACTTTAGTGTTTTTCTTACTGTTTTTTTTTCCCTTTCATGCGTACGGTTCTGACTTTTTGGTACTGTGTTTGTTAGTGACAATTTCAAATTTTTAACACGATATTTGCTTATTAATTAACTAAATCATTCCATTTAAATCTTCAATTATTTCATACTTTTTATGTAGCCACACAACTATTTAATTAATCTGAAATGAAGATCATCTAGAAAATAGCAGTTTATTATGAATTATTGAAATAATCTGTTTAATATTTGAAAAAATGTTGATGTTCTGTTTAGAGGCTTGCATAATTCCACCCTACACTGAAATAGATTTGAGTAAATTGTATATAAATAGAAGACGGTTTTATATGAACTTCCGACCAGGTAATACTCACTTTATTTAGAAATAATCTGAAAAATTTTATAAAATAATCTCAACAACTTCATAAGAAAGACCAAAAACAAAAACAAAAGTGTTATACACCTTTAAATAGAATACAATTAATTCAATTTTGACAACGATTCAAAATAATCTGTGGAGTTCAAAGTCCCGCAGTAAGTTCAATCAATTTAAAATTTAAGCTTGCTTTAGTTCTTGCAAGCACCAATATGCCATTAAAAACAAATGTAAAATTACTTTTTCCCGTTGTAATTAGAAAAAAAAATAAATAAATAATATTTTTTTTTAATTCTATCAAAGCCTCCATTTACTCTGCGCTTGTAATTATGCTTAAAATAATAATAAAAATCACGTTAAATTAACATAAATTTTGAATACGAATTTGTTTTTGCAATTTTAATATAGAAACGGGTTTTTTTAACCATTTTTTTAATAAAAAACACCATACAAGTTTCGCAATAGCAATTATTTAAAAATTAATTTTTAAGCCAAGGATTTTATTATGTAAAATAAACAATAAATATTGCAAAATAATTGTACCCAAGTTGATTCGCACATAACATAAGATTAAACAACTGTGAGCAGCCCAAAACCCCAACACTAAACTTAAAAAATAAATGAAAACAAAAAGATGTTATAGAAAAAATTTGCAAATAAAACACAGAAATTTGAAAAAAAAAGTCAAGAAGAAAAAAATAAATTCCTATCCTCTCAAGGACTTTAATTGTTTGCATTCTTGTTTATTTTTATTTTTACATTTTTTTTTTTTTTGTGTCTTCAATTTAATGGAATTGAAACACTAAAAAATAAAATAAAAACTGGACACACACAAATTCATATAATTTTTTATTGTTATTTGGTTTCACAAATGTGACTTGGATTTTAAAATAACATTAAAATAAATCGTTTACGAGTAAAATATGCAAGTTATACGATACCATTAAATTCAATTACTATTTCAGTCTCTTTCACAGTATTTTAATTTTTTATATACATAATATAGTTAAGAATGAGAAAGGGCGCACAAATGAAAAGTTTTGTTACAATTTACTTTGTACAACAATATTTATTACTTTCTTGATAAACCCATTTCAAATCAGAAAATGCAAAAATCAAAGCAAAATTACTACATCTTGTAATTTTTCCCGATTCGTTTATATTTTTGGGGCAATATGATAAATAAACTGAAGGTAATTTAATACGAAATCATGATGTTATAATTTCTAATCCCCCTCTAATATTCAAATTTATACAACAGCGAAATTTGTTCACTTTGGAAAATTGTGGTAGCAAATTGTAAGGTTATCAAATTAAGGTAAGGAAAATGAACCACAAGAAATTTAACCAAATTATCAGCCCTATCACGAATTTTATTCGTAGACCAGATATTCGGATAATTACAAATGCCAATTATTGTCAATTCCAAATTACTAAAATTCTGCTCCGAACATTCGTATAATAGAGTAATCATAAATTACGTGCACAGTAAAAGTACATGTCAAAAGTCTGCGAAAGAAATAATCAATAATGACACGTAACAAGCAATTTGAAGAAGTAGTCATTAAAAAGTGGAATGAGTGGAATTCATAATAGGGCTGTATATTTTAGGCGAAAACAAACCATGATTTCGAAAATTTGATTTAATTTGAAAAAATTTTAAAACTGATAACATGCTCTTTAAGCAAATACAAATATGTTTTGCTCTTTTAATACTGATATACAATGCTCTTTAAGCATGTTATCAGTATTAAATTCTATAAGTTCGCATTTAGTTAAAGTCTTCAAAGTTTTCCAAAAATGGTTTTTAATTTAAATTTTTTTTTACTCCTTATGCTATAATTCTGGCTTCGCATTCTTTATTTTTTATGTATTTTATTACCAACTTTTTGTATAGATTAGAAGAAACTAATTACTGAGTCAGAACATTTTCTGTTCAAACACATACATATTTGTATTTGAAAATTTTACAAAAATACTTGAATTTTAATTTGATTTTAAATCCCCGCTAAAAATTAGATTTGTCCCCCATAAAAATTAGATTAGACCGAACGAGAAAATATCAACAAAATTTGCAAGTACATATGTAATTGAAAAATAATCTTCGAAAATATTTGTCTCTAGACAAAAATTTTATTGACGTAATTCAATGTGTTAATTGGTCAATAAAATCCAGATTTATTTTCTTATCTTATTTTTTTAATGATTTTTCCATTTCGAAATGACTTTTGACCCGTTAAATTTATTTGAAACCAAAACCCATTAAAATATGTACATACTTGAGTTTATAAAAAAATCTAAAAAACTAAACGCATACATAAGTTATTTAAATAGTCAAATAAAGTTTTTCAGAAATCCGACCCGTTAAAACTTTATCATCAAATAAAGAAATAAAAATTATTTTGTTCTTGAAACAAGTTGTTGTTTAATCATTTCTCATTTTTATTGTAATTTTTCATTAAAACTCTCAATTTTGAATATATTATATCCCAATCCAAGTAGGCTCCAACAATACATCTAACATTATTTTCATTATCATCATATCCAGTTCTACCATGAACCAAACGTATATTATTAAATGTTAAAATATCACCAGGACTCAATTTAAATGATACTGATTCTTGTTGTAATAATTTAACGAATTTTGAATATGCTTCATACCATAATTCAACTTCCTCTATTGTAACATTAAAGTGACTATCCCTTTGTGGAATACTGTGATTTATACGTGTATAAAAGCCATCACCATCTAAACTAAAATGTTGGAAGTTTATTAGAAAAAAAATATATCCCGTGTCTCTATGTATATTCATGGCATACCATATAACAGGCGATCTCCAAATGTTATGAAATGGAAGACCACCATCTTCACCTATATCATTCCAATCTATAACAGTTTTAGTTAATGTTTCAAAGAAATGGGGGTAATTTTTCTTTAAAATGTCGACTACATGAAAACCATCAGCTAAAAGATTTTCACCTCCTTTAGAATTTGATTGTACAACACAATGCAATAGATTAACACTCGGCTTATATTCATAATACGGAAGATCAGTATGTAAAGGTAATGGTGTTGATAAATAAGCATAATTTTTTGCCCCAGGCTTAGCTTCCACAATAAATTCTTCTCTAAAAAAATTAAAATAATTCATTATTAATATGTGTATCATATAGATTACTAGTATATCAAAAGACACCAAGATTGTTTCCTGAATAACTGTATAATAACAAATACTAAATCATTAAAAGCTAATACTAAAAATATACTTAATAACCAGTGATTAAAATAAAGTAATCAATTTTGAAGTTTACTTGTGTACTTTATTTAAGATCTATTTTCAAATTTAAAATTGAATTGGATTGAACTTACCCATATGTAGTTTTCCTGATAAAACCCACCCGATCAGCTAATTTTCTTACAGCAGTTTTATCTGTTCCAGCATTTTTAATAATTGCCACTCCATATATTGCTAACTGTTGTAACCATAATTTTAAATCTAAAATAAACAATTACGAGTAACTTAAAATTTTTTGTTCAATTTTTTTTTTAATTTTTTCTTACCATTATTTTTTTCCATAACATTTTTGTACTCAAATGTACTCAAAATTTTTTTAAAATCATTTTTACTCCAATGTTTTGTTTTCGGTCTATAAAATTCATTTAAATATTTTTCTCTTTTATCAGTATGGAAATCTCTTTCTCTTAACCAATCAAGAGAATACGTTGAACTATGTTTATCGCTCCAATCAATGCTAATTGAATTATCAGACGCCTTTGCTTTCGTAAATAAAACAAAAATATAGGAAAAAAGCAAAAAAAAAAATTAAATTACTATTTAATCATCATAAATTTGATAATAACACTATAATGAATTTAACAAGATTACCGTTATATTTGTAATATTAACTTTAGTATCAAATTTAACCCAATCAATTTGACGACTTTTTGAACTTTGATGAAAGCACTCATTACACTGACAATTATCTCGGAGCCAAACTGTAGGAAATTTCATAAAATGTAATTGCTTGTCAGATGAGCTTTCATTAACAACAACACATCGATTTTGTAGAGAAACATTTAATACTCTCAAAACTGAATTTAAATGAAACCATGACTTTTGTGAATTTTGTTGTTTAATAAAACAAGGAACTTTTATTTGAAATAATATATTTTTTATATTTAACATTATTTATTGTATAATAAAATTAATTTAAAAAATAACCGGTTTGAAAATGTTTAACTTCCAGCCGATCTTCACAGAGAGACTGATAACCAATGACTAAATAAAAATATTCATATGCCGTTGATTCATTTTGCGAGAGTGAAATTATCAATTTTTGATTACTTTTCGTTACAATGAATTTCGGTATTAACATCTTATACAAAAAATTTAGTAGTAGAATTGAAAAATAACTATCTATATTCTAACAAGGCCAATCGTGTGAAAAGAAGCCTTCTCTATTTAATGAAATATTTTTTTGAAATGAATCTTTAAATTTTAAAATGCTTTTTTTGAGTAAAACAAGGTAGTTAGTTACGAGTATTCCTGTAATATATAATAACTAGTTTATCAACACAGTACGCCCTATAACAACTACACGAACGAATAACACGATAAGATTATTGTTTTATATCTTTTTGTCTCGACTCAATTCACAATCTTTGAAAAGTTGTGTTGCTCATAGAAAAATATAATATATTAAAAAATTCATTTGACGTTTTCAATTGCACAATTTCTTTAGCAATAATATTGGAACTCTTCAAGTTTTGGAACTCTTCAAAACATTGGAACAATTGCACATACATATATATACAAATTTTCGGCGTACCACTCATATAATTATGTATATGTATCACCTTCCAAAAATTGCTTTACTAAAGTAGACTTTTGTTTTAATATCCAAAACTTTCAATATAAATTTAAAAAAATATATAAAAATTTGTGACATTTGAGGTCCATTCAAAATTTTCAGTCTTAGAAATAAAAAAATTTTATTATACATAATTAAATTTTTACGTACATACATATTTATTTAAATAAGAAAGTTAACTTTTCTCATAAATAAAATTAGAGTTTGAATAAAGAGAATGATGTTTGACAACCGTCAATATACTTCAGTGCCAATATTACTAGCGTTCTCGGTAAGTGAAAATTTTATTAATTTTATTTAAAATAAATATACATAATTACATTATTACATAATATGTATGTATTTGAAGTATTTTTGGATCACAAGAAAAAGGACCATCTATATTTTGATAAAATTATAGAAATCAATTCACATTTAGTTCGTTTTGTAAAACACGAAAACGAACTTAAAACAATTTAATTTGTCAATGGCAAATTGTAAATTCAATATTTTGTATTTTTGTGTTTAAACTATGTTTTTTCTTTATTTCTTGGTGTTTACAGCTTTAGTTATCCGATTCTCAGCTCCAAGTCGGATAACTAAGTCTAAATAGCCCAAGTAGTTTATTCCATAATATTATATACATATGTATGTACGCATATACATATAGGCATGTACGAGTATAGAGTTATACCTATTGTTATATAAATATAATATTAATATTCAAGTATAAACTGTAAACGTGAATGACTAGTTTTTTAGATATAAATAAATTTTGTATATAAAGTTTGTTATTGTTTTAAAAATTAAGTCATACAATTTCTCTTATTTTTTTAAATAAGATTTGAGAAAAAAAAGCAATAATTCTCGCCATTTTCTCTTTTGTCTTTAGTTTTGTCTTTATTTTTGGAAATCTTATGAAAATTTAAAATTAAAACTTTTACATCAAATTCTAATACAGTCAGCTGTCAGATGTAATGACGAAATTAATTTATAAATAAACTTTGAGAAAAAATTAAATTGGTCACTATATTTATTTCTCTCAAATTCATTCCTATACTCTTTGTAAGAGTTAGTTTAGTATAATACAGTATTTATTCTCAGCATTTTTAGTATATTTTCCTCATTGAGCATGAGAAAACAAAAACAAATTTAGTAACCTTTGACCTTCTTCATTTAATTAAAAATTTTTTAACAAAGTTATAAGAACTGGAAGTATAAAATTTTAATTTAAAAGTTTTTTATTATTTTCAAGTGTTAATGTGCATAAATATGTAGTTTATATTAAGATTCCAAGTGATTATAATCATTTGGCACAAGAAAAAGCGCTCCTTTTAAACATGATAAATATTCATTGACCTGGATTTAGTTATTAAAATTATTAGGCGCTTATGTACACTATATTTCGGAATACATAGCCCGATTTCTGAAATATTTCTCTTGTAAGACTTTTATAAGACAATACTGAAATTATATTCCAAATACATGGACTGAGGCCTTGGTCTATGGAATATTAAAGTCTTTCAACTGAATTTAAGAGTAAGGAGTTCACTAAAAATCTCATGTAAATTTCAATTTGAATTGCATATACCCGAAAGTGTGGAATTTAATAGTAATTCACGCATTTGGTTTTTAAAAAACAATTATTTTATGCATCCTCCATTTTTAAGATGCAACATTTTATTTTTGAATTTATTTTCAAAAAGAATTTTTATCTTTGTGCTCTCAAATCGTTTTCTTTGTAATATCTTATTTAAATATTATTGTCATATATAGAAAAACACAGCTGTTTTTTGTTGCAATTATTAATTTTAAGAGTTTATAATCTTTTTCCGTTTTTTATTTATTTTCTTTTGTATTATTCTGAATACACGTTTATCCTTCTTAGGTGGCTTCTCAAAAAGCCATTTTCTACTATGAATATTTTGTTTGTTCTTTTTTGAAGGATATATAGGAATAAAGGAAAAAATTAGAATAAGATGATATCAAAGAAGAAAATAGTAAAAATTTTTCGAGCATATTCTAAATCTGTTGCAAAAATAAGAAATGTACACAAATTCATTCATATTAATGTATAGTATTGGGACTTATTTATCTCCTCGTTCTTATTTTCTTAATAATCTTTTTGTTTATCAAAATGTCTATTGATATTGTAGGCACGAATTTATACATAAGATATGGTGGTTGTATGTAAATTAAAAATAAAAGGAAGAAAGAAAAAATTATATATGAAAGATAAAAAGTTCAAAGCAAAAAAACACATTACAATTCAAAGATATAGAAAAACAAAAAGAAATTCAAATACAAATTAAGAAGAAACAGAAAAAAAATCTTAAGTAGATAAAAATTAAAAAGAATATCAGATTACATAATAATTACAATTCGTGTAATTCATATGATGCCGTATTAACGCTTTAAATGAAGAAAATGCTAAAATTAATATTTCGCGCTCATAATTAATGACTGCTAAATACAAAATTAAGTCAGTAAAACCAAATTTATTCAGTTATTATAATTTATACAAACTACATACATCACATTTGCGAAAACAATGACATAAATCAAAATGCAGAATCGCAAACTTGCTTTTATTACTATCATATAAAGCTTTTCTGTATAACAAAATAGCACAGAAAATTTGTTTATATACTTGTAGAATAGTTCTATACCAGCGTTTTTTTAACCTTCGATAGTAATTTACACTCGGCTATAAATACTTTAAATTCCGGAAGCTGAAGTTATATTTTTGATTTGTGTCATTATTCTTCCTGATGTGCGAAATGTATTGTATAACTTCATAAATCTTAATACATTTTAACACAGAAACAAACTTTTTGTTATTCTGTTTAGTTTTCAACCCAAATTTTCTTCAAACCACTAAAATTTGTTTAAAATTATTTATCTCATTAAATAATATTACATTTCAGTAAATTAAGGAAAGTAGGTACGTATGTTATTCTACCTGAAATCGTTTAATCGATTCGATTTAGTTCATTAATGTCTACATAAACAGTTTAAATTTCACACTTCAAAAACCGGTTAAGATGAAGTATAATCCTAAAAATTGAATGACAATTTCGTTCTACTGTACTAATATAAAGTAGAACTTATAAGTCAGTACTAACATAAAATCGAAGCTCATGCCTTGAAATGCCTTCATTATTAATCTTTAAAAGAATTTCTTCAAAGCATTTCGACTTTTTTGGATCTACCGAAATTCAAATTTTACCAAATTAATATATAATATAGATAAATGAAAAATACAGATATATGTATATATCAGTGTCATGGCTGCTTTCAAGACTTCCAATTTTCCAAACCTGTTGAAATATCAAAATTATTTTTTTAATTAAATCAAACCCAAGTTCAAGTCAATGGTTACTTTAAAAAAAAAAAAAACGAAAATCTACGAAATTTCTTTTTGATTTTAGATAAAATTTTATTTTCGCTTTCTTTCTCTCTGCTGTTCACACACAATCAAAATATATTTAATTCTCTAAATTTTATATAATCACTACTTATGTACGTTTTCATCTTTAATGTCCTTCATTAAATCATTTTTCACTTAATTAAACTTAAAAGAATTTAGCAAAACACACATATCCTTTTGATTTCGTATATTTTATACTGTGGCTCTAACAAGGCACTAACCTTAACCGAAACTAATTTTCCTGTACTTTGTATTTTTTTTCTCTTTCTTTTGTTTTTGTGTTTTTGTTTTTAAATAAAGAAAAATTCCACAAATTTGTATTTCTCATCTTGTTCTCTTTTTCTATATTATAAAAAAAAGAAAAGTACATTTTAGTGGTTTTTCTTTTTTGTGCCTTTTTTTTACATACATACATAGATAATAATGCTTACATATTGTAATAAAGAAAAATGAACAGCCCAGAATACAAAAGAAAACAAAAGACAGATTGGTGACAGTTGTGAGTGATTAAACAAGTATAACGGTAGTCACCATATCAAAGTATATCAAAGTCATAATATAACTGTAGTATGAATTACATAAGTTGAAAAAAAAATTATAATAAAAGAAATGAAGAAGAAAAAAGAATTCCAACCAAAATAGAAATTTATTGTACGCCTGGGTAGTTCCATTAAAAATCAGCAGAATAGCTAGTTTATAAACATAAACATACTTTAAAATACAGACTAATTGTTTTTCAAGTTCTATCATTTAGTGTTTTACATTTCTTTCCTCTTTAACAAAATATTTTTAATCTAAATTTTTGAGTCTAAAAAAACTGTAGCCAGCTAACTAAGCACCTGCTTTCCTTCCTTAAAATATGCAATAATCATTACATTTATCAAAATTTTATTTATCAAAATCCACACATAAATGGACATAAATTCATAACATTTTTTATTTTCTTTGATATCTTGACATG